CTCAGTCGGTCAGGTGACAAGTGTCTCTACTTCTTCCAGGAAATAAAAAAGAAGACCAACTTTGAATGGGGGGATGATGCAGAGACGACCTTTCAAAAACTAAATAATCATCTGCACTCTTTGCCGAGGTTGGTTAGCCCTTTTCCCAAAGAGAAGCTCTTCATGTATTTGGTCGTCTCCGATCATGCCCTCAGTGCCGTTCTCTTAGCTGAAAGAGACGGCATCCAGCTCCCGGTTTATTTCATTAGCCATGTTCTTAGGAACGCAGAGCTTCGGTACCCCATGGTTGAAAAATTTGGCCTTGCCCTTTACATGGCCATCAAGAAGCTAAAACCTTACTTCTTGGCGCATGCGGTAGTAGTCTATACTGACCAACCGATCAAGCGGCCACTCACAACCTTGGAGTCTTCTGGACCAATGCTGAAATGGGCGATTGAAATACAAGGATTGGAAATCACTTACGAACCAAGGAAGGCAATAAAGGGGCAAGAATTTGCCAACTTTATTGTTGAAATGACAAGGCCGGTTGCACCGGACAATACTAGCCAGGTTTAGAAAGTGTATGTGGACGGGAGCTCCACTACGAATGGTTGTGGTGCAGGGATTATCTGTCAATCTCCTGAGGGAGATAAGTACGAATATGCATTACGGTTCAAGTTCCAGGTCTCTAACAATGAGGCCGAATATGAAGCCCTGCTAGCCGGCATTCGGTATTGCAAGGCGGCAGGGGAAAGAAAATTGACGCCTGCTCTGATTCCCAACTGGTCGTACTCCCAAGTCAATGGAACGTACGAGACCACTCATCCGGCCATGATAAAATATCTGCAGGCGGTCAAAAATGAAGTCGGGACACTTGAGGAGTTTCATCTAAATCAAGTGCCCAGGTCTTCAAACAATCAGGCGGATGCCCTGTCAAAACTGGCATCATCCGCCTCCTATGAAACACCCTGGTCAGTTTTCTGGGAGGTCATGGAAAAGAGAAGTATATCTAATGAAGACCCCATTGAAATTCTTGACCGAAGCTCAACCTGGATGGACAGCATCCGGGCCTACCTTGCAGACGGTACGCTCCTTGATTCACCTCAGGAGGCGGCTGTTCTGAAAAAGAAAGCGGCAAACTTCGAGCTGAGACAAGGAGAACTCTTCAAGACTGGTTTTTTGAAACCTCTGTTGAAGTGTGTTACCCCAGAGAAGGGTAAATAAGTTCTCGAAGATTTGCATGCGGGTTTTTGCGCCTCTCATATAGGCGGCAGGTCTTTAGCTGCCAAGGCCAGGCGACTCTATTTTTGGCCGACTCTGGAGTCGGATGCAATGGAAATGGTAAAAAAATGTGACAAGTGCCAAAGTTTGGCAAGCTCATCCATCGTCCGGCCACAGACTTGACGGCCATCCACTGCCCAATACCCTTTTCTAAATGGGGCATGGACATACTTGGGCCTTACGCAGCCGCCCCGGGCGGTAAGCACTATATATTGGTAGCTTTGGATTACTTTACCAAGTGGGTAGAGGCGGAGGCGGTAAAAAACATCAAGACTAAAGATGTCATTTCCTTCATATGGAGGAATATTATCATTCGTTTCGGGGTGCCTATGTTTATGGTTTTTGACAATGGTCCTCAGTTTGAGACGCCTCAGCTCAAGACTTGGTTAGAAGACCAGGGGATCTCAAGTTTCTTTGCATTAGTCGGCCAACCCCAAGCAAACGACCAGGTCGAAGCCTTCAACAAGTTAATCTCAGTCGGGATCAAAAAGAAAATAGAGAGAGCTGGTGGCCTTTGGGCGGATGAATTACCACACGTCCTCTGGGCCATTAGAACAACCGCCAAAGGGGAAACTGGAGAAACCCCATTCCTCATGGTGTATGGTGCAGAAGTTGTCCTGCCCATCGAACACTATGAGCCGACTCTTCGAATCATGTTGTATGACGAAGAGGCAAACTGGGAGGCCATGCGGCTAACATTGGACTCACTTCCAGAGCGCAGGGGCAATGCTGCCTTGCGCCATGAAATTTACCGTATGAGAATGACTCGGGCCTACAACAAAAGAGTACACAAGCGTCCTCTCAAAGTGGGGGACTTTGTGCTACGGAAAATGGAGGCAGCCGGTAGGGCGAATGAGCAGGGAAAGCTAACCCCAAATTGGGAAGGCCCCTACCGAATCTATGATGAAGTAAGAGACGGCACCTACCGACTGGAAGAACCTGACGGTAGGCGGCTGCCTAGAACTTGGAATGTAGACAAATTAAAAAAGTACTACTTCTAAGAATTTTTGTAAATGTTTCAAAGTTTTGATTAATGAGAATATGTCTTCATTTCCCAAACTTGTATTTTTGCTAATTTTTGTAAATTATGCTAGCGTCGCCTGTACAAAGTACAGACGACCACCCTATTTTTAAAAACGTTTGTCCCAACAGTAGACGCCCCATTCCGTCCGAAGGAGCCGCCTGTACCAAAACAGTCGACCCTACTAATTTATTTTTAAGTTAAGTCCAACACTTGACGGCTATTTACCATTTTTAAAGAGGCCAATGGCCGGATATTAATAAAACAATAGAGGCCGACGGCCACAGTCTGCTCCAACATGAGTATGACCGTCTGCTCCAACATGAGTCAGATAACCGACGACGTCTATTCGGGCGAATTCGTCGAGGAGAAGCATCTCCCATTTGGGTGGCAGATTGCTCTACTAATACATCAAACGGCCCTACCGAATGCTAAGGAAGCATCCATAGTTGTTTGAATAAATCAAAAGTGAAATCTAAACGGCCGAAAGTTTTTCAAATTGTTCTAGTACAATTGGAAAGAGGTCACTGTTTCATGATTAGAGGCTATCGAGGCATTAGGCGGGATGCGCTTGTTTTTGCTCTGGGGCAAGGCAGGCGGAAAATTCTTTCTCAATCAAAAAGCTAAGTCCAAAAAATTAGCATTATACGCACACAAGGCTTATGGCCGGATGCGCCTGCTTTGCTTTGGGGAAACCAGGCGGAATACTTTTTCTTAACAAATAAGCTAAATTAAAACTTAGCATCTTATTTTAACGAGGCCTATGGCCGAATGAAATCAAAGGATCGACTGCTCTGCATGGCCGTCTGTCGCTTGGTTTGGGGAAATCACCATAGTGATTGATTGACTTAGAAGCCATGCATACTCTTCTAAGTATCAATAATTTCCAATTCAATCAATCCAATCAATCGAAACCAATCGACATCCGTCCAGGGGCAAGAACATTCGCATACTATACAGGCTAAAATACTTAGCTAAAATTCTATGCATAAAATTTGGAAGCTTTGAAAATTTTTAAAAGCATAAACACCAATATAAATAAAACCGGCCAAATGACCGGATGCTTCATAAAAATTAACAGCCGTCAAAATTGATGACTGTAAAGAGTTAACTGGCTAAGCTAGGAGAATTGTTGAATTACCTGACCCCTTGGTCGGTAAAGATACATTTTTACTCGGCACACAAGCCGGAAGATCAAATACATGGTCATTCGGCCGCAGAGAAAAATTATAAAAAGCTTAAGTAGCAAGGGAAAAGTTCTCAACATTGGCATCCGCATCATCCATATTTTCACCCGCCGGCTGCTCAGCATTTTCACCATCCTCCTCGTCCCCTTGCTCGTCCCCAGGAGAGCCCGATGAGGAGTCGGACTCTTCACCCTCAGCATCAGCCTTGGTCGCCTCCTCTTGAGCTTGTCGAAGAAGGCCAGCATTGAAATCCTCGTTGGCTTGGTCAAATTTGGATTTCCAAGTGCTATAGTCAGCACCCGGCTTTACCGCCTCCCATGCCGTCCGCATGATGGCCTCATAATCTTCCATCATTTGTTTGACAAGGGCCTCCTTCTCCTCCTCAGCTCGGGACTCAAACTTGGCCTTCAGCTGCTTCTCCTTGTTCGCCAGGCGCATCTCCAAGCGGCCAACCCGCTCCTTGGCCCTCTCGGCTTCTTTCTTGGCCTCCTGCAGAGGCTCAAGCTTTTCCTTAAGACCTTTAATTTCGGCCTTAAGATCATTAATTTTGGAGCGAGCCGAATCCAGGTCCTTCTTTACTTGCAGGTTGGCAACCGCCTGGGAATACATCATACCAAGGGTTAGTAGCTCATTTTGAGCAATTTCAAATTGAGCTCGGTCTAAGGCGGACTCGACCCGAGCTTTAGCGGCTGTTACCTCTTTGGACTTTTCCTGGAGAGGCTTCCTTAGCCCCTGAATGCGCAGCATAGCGTGGATATGAGTAAAGAGCCGAATGGTTAAGACCAGTCGGATATATACTTAACAATAAGTAAATCAAGATAATTCTCTGCCTCACAAAGATTCCCCAAGATGGCATCCAAGTTAAGGGTGCCGACTCCTCTCACGGACGCCTTGTCCTCTGGACTAAGCGCCCTCAGCATCTCCTTGGCCATCTGGAGGACGGTCGGCCTTTGCACAGGAGCCACAAGATTAAAATTAGTAAAGAAAATTCTAAGAAACTATCTACATGATGGTATCCAATATAGAGGTGGTTTATACCATCCGGCTGAACCTCCTCCTCCTTCCCATGGCGCCTCTTCTCTCCTGCCACTAGTCGAAAAAATGCTATTTGTAACCGGCGAAATTGACTTTTTGTAACTGGCATTGTTGGTTGCGAATGCCACCGTTATAACTAATGAATATTATTCGTAACCGGCTAATGTTAGTTACAAATAATATATTATTTGTAATTGACTTAACCTTATGCTAGTTACAAATAGGCTATTTTCAAAGTTAGAAAACATACTATTTGTAACTGGCGTTAAGTTATACCGGTTACAAATATAGTATTATTTGTAACTGGCATAGCATAACGCCAGTTACGAATAATGTTTTTAATTTAAAAAAATAAAAATAAAATGGTAGCAGTAACAAACTCCTCTACTGCCACCACCCGTACACTACATTTATATTTTTTTTAATGTAAAGACCATTAATTGTTAATAAAATACAATAACTATCAATCTAGCCAATATAAGACCACTTTAAAGCGACATCTTGGAAATTATATTGAATTGATGTACTTGTAAATTACAAATATTTCTCTCATAGTTCACAATAAATAATACTCTATAACTAAAAAAAGCTAGTTAGTTAATTGATACAATGGTCAACCTTCAAATTTTGACGATTTTGTCTCTGTCTGCTTTCACAAATTTGACTGTTCTGTATGGGATTGCAGCAGTTTACACTTAGCACTTGATATTGCAACAGAATTCTGCATGGGAAAGAAATATAAACATAAAAAAGCCAAAATTTAAAAAGGATTGTTTTAGACAGTCACCAAGTGAACGCTTCCAACATGGTCAATGCATCAAACTGAGGGGATATAAAAGAATATAAACATCAAAGCTCACGAGAAAAATTTCAGCCACTTATTAGACAAAACTAGTCACAAATAAATTCAATACAGAAATCAAAACCAGTAATTTCACTTATTAGACAAAACTAGTCATAAATAAATTCAATACAGAATTCAAAACGCCACATATAAAATACAACAAAAACATAAGGTAGCAGATGCTTGGTGCATGAACTAGCTCAATTTTCAGTTTCTTAAGTGTCTGAACTAGAACAATCTATTACATACACAAGCTGAAAGGTACTGAAGTAGCTCAAATTTCAATTTCTTAGGTGCCTGAACTAGCAGTTTCGCCCACTTATATAGTTGTAGAAATATCCAAGATTAGTGAGATTTTTAAATTGCATACCTGATAAGCCTGCATCATTACAAGTAATATTTGAGCCCGGACCATTGCAAAAATCAAATGAGCCTACAGTCATTTGAAGCAAATAATGAGCCCTGCACTAGTACGTGTTACAAAAAAGAAAGTATACTATAATCCAGCAACCTATAGGGATTCTGCTCTACAAGAGAGAAGATGGACATTCATTAAATCACTTAGCTTGGGTACCAAATAGAAAATTATAGACTTCTCCAAAAATAGAAAGTATATAATATTCCAGCAACCTATTGACAACTAAAAAAAAGTTCACCTGAGGAGAATAGTCAACTCCGGCAGCAATCGCAGCATCTCCTTCCCACAATGCAGTTTTCCATTCTCCAAATTTCCGAGCATCAAAGCATCTATTTAAATGCTTCTCCACTGCTTGAATTTTGGAGTTCTGTTGCCTCAGGCTGATGTGCTGCATAGAATAGATGTTTCCTAGCAAAATCTACCTGTCCTAACCTAAAACCAGCCAAGAAACAAAATAAATAACTATAAAAAAATGCAGATTCATATTCAAATAATTAGTGTCTTCAATACCACATGGTCGAAGAAAATTAAAGTAATTCCCATGTTCAAAGAAAAATCACAGTAAGAAATTGATAGAAATTGATAACAAATTCCACTACCATGATTAACAAATACTTATGGTCCCTGAAGCAAGTCAATGACATAAATTATCAACTGCCACCATCCGGAAATGATTTCTACTTCTTAAAGTAACATATCCTCAAAAATATTAGTTTATAAACAATAAGAAAACATGTGCAGGGACAAAGAACTTTCTAATATAGCATCATTACTTGAACTACTTATGGCAACATGATCAGCAGCTAATCATCAGGTGACAAGCAACCAAACCAAGTTTTTAAAGCATGTTAAATCACAATTGGCAATCAAACTTGTAGAATGAAGCCAGCCCGAATTAAACATGGACAATGACAACTCAACCTCAGTGAGAAAAAACCCCTTCCTTTCTTCCTATTGACATGATAATTCGTTGAATCCACATCCTTAGCAAACGGAATTGGATTAAACAAATCAAAATCCATTTCTTGTCGCAGCTAGATAATTTCCCGGGTGAAACCATGAAAAGTGCGGGACAAATTTGCTTATATTTCCTAGCTTCTACATAACTTTATCTCAGGAAAACCCTTGAAAGAAGGATTTCAATGGGAAACTAACATCAACTTGGTTGAAAACAGTCTAAGATACAGAAACCGATTGTGCGAATATACCTCTAACTACAACAATATTCACCCTCCATGGATAAAACCAACATGTCAAGCAACAATGGACTCTAACATTCTCTACACACTAGGCTAATTACTCCTCCGTACCACTAAAATTGCCCATATACTAAAAATGGATGTCAAGATGATATAATTCATAAAGGAATCAACAACTAATAAAGCCAAGATAATTATAAAAAAAAAAAGTCAACTAACACCCAAATCCTAAACATTACAAAGAATCATTCATGTTCATAGCAACAAATAAATAAGAAACCTAACTGAACCAATTTGTACTAATTGAAAAGGGGAGGTACACATGCAATGAACAATTTTCAAACAACCCTTTAAACTTGCATATACATACGAAGTATTAGAAATGCCACAAAATTAAATCCACAAAAAGCAGCAAATATTAATAAAAAAAAAACTACTAAATCAAAACATAATAACCCAAAATCCACAGAAAATGGAAAGAGCAAATTGCCACACTTTAAGCATAAATTAAAAAAAAAAAACAACTTAAAACAAATCAGAAACTACCAAACCGAGGTACCCAGAAGCTAAAATTTGAATTTTTTTTTCTAAAAAGGACACGGGAAAAAAAAGATGAAGGGATTATGAAAGTTACCCAAATCCAGTTATCTAGAAGTTGAAATTGAAGGTTCGAAGCTCAAAAAATGTGAACTTTACAAGCTGATTTCAGCAAAAATGGTAGAAAAGAAGCAGAATATGATGAATTTGTGAAAAAATAGAGAGATGTTAGGCTTCACTTGGGAAATGAACAAATCTTTTAAGAGCAATAGAGTAAACAATTTAGCCGAAACTGCTGTAATCAATCACCAATGGTTGGTAAATCATCAAGACATAATTAAGCATATGGAAACTAAGCAAGCCCAAGGTAACGTAGAGCAGATGGAAAGAAAAATTAAAAGAGATATAATTCACAACTAATTGGGGTTTTTATTTAATTAAAGAGATAATTTAGTTCATTACATCAACCTAATTCATGAACCCTAATTCAAAATTTTACATACCTCTTTTTAACCTCCATATAGCCCTCTTTTGCTGAATTTTAGATCATTCTTCATGAACAAGAAGCAATTTTTTAATTGAAAATTTCTAAAACCGTTTATTTTTATCAAGGAAAAAGGAGATCGAAGTTAATGGAAGACAAATGAGTATATAAGAATACTCATGAATTCGAAAACGCAAGTGGAAAAATGAAAAAAAAAGCTACTCTGTACTTAGGTTTGTTAGAAAATAAATAAATAAAATTTTTTTTTTTGACACAAAGTACTACTAACTTGCGTTTGCAAGCCAGTTACTAAATATTTGGTCAAATTTTATTTGACTCAATATTTGTAACCAACATTTATTAGGTCGGTTACTAATAGAATTTCCAACCTTGACAAATTTCAAATTAGTAACCTTCGTCTACAAGGCCAGTTACTAATGTCATATTATTTGTAACTTACATTATCTTAGCCAGTTACTAGTGGTGTTTTAGTAACTAGCATTTTTAATGCCAGTTACTAATAGGGCATGCTGAGCCGACAACAGTAGTGGGTTGCTTAAAGCCACCATTCGATGCCTGATTGGCATCCGGTTTGCTGACCTCCCTGTCAGCTTTGAGAGTAGAGTCATCTCCTCTTTTAAGCTTGTGAGCAATGTGCTTCCGGTTCTTGTCGGATGCACTCACATCACCCGTCCCAGTCTTTTGGATTTTGGATTGGGATTGCTTAGAGGGAGAAGGTCTGGTGGAGCCACTCTGCATTAGCAAAAGGAAAAGGCGTCAGAAAACAGGCGGGCAAAAATTGACCTTGCTAAAAAATATCAAGTTTTATAAACAACTACCTTGGGGGTCCCGACTGTTTTTTGCTAGTCACCCGCTTGATTAAGGACGTTCGAGCGATATTTCGCCGCAGAGACAGCAGCCGGCTTCCTCGTTGCTGAGATCTTTTCCATGGCTTTGTCTGCACCAAAAGCAGGAGTTAGAATTTGTAAACGATCATTGAAAAGCAATTTAAAGTTGCATAAAATCAAACGGTCGACTACCTCTCGGCATCTCAGAACTTAGCCCACAAGCGGCCAAGAACACCCCATCCTCTAACCACTTGTATAGGGGAATGTAGCTCTAAGAGACGACTATTTTCTCCCCCTGCTCATTTGTCCGGACGGACACTTTGAACAAACCCCTGTCAAACATTACCTCCTGGGCCCGCCTAGGGAGAGGGGGAAGGCACTTTTGCCAGCCAGGAGGGGCGGATCCTTGTTCCACCTATTGTATTTCCAATTCAGTCGGCTATCAGAGGAGTGGACTATGTAGAACTTTGTTATGCAGTCCTTCCACTTGTTTTCCTTTCCAACTGCCATCATGTACCCCTTGCAGGTGGACAAGGTGTACCAGCCTTCGTCGCCCTTGGCCGGCGCTCGGCTGAGATAGTGCATGTGGGCGAATGCCTCAAAGCCGGGCTCCACCTCAGCATGTCACATGCGGCAACATACCCGATAATATTAATCTAGGAATTCGGGAAAAGTTGCCAGATACCCAGTTGGTATCCGTCCAATATTCTCTCCACGGCCGGATGGAGAGGGAAGCGCAGACCGGCTTGGAGGACCGCCTCGTAGCAGCCAAATGCTAGGTCCTTATAGCTGGCCAAAATCGTCCAGGGTATTGTATCATCCTTGTTCGGCACAGACAAGGAAAAGCCATGACCCATTACGGTCTTGCGCCTAAAGTTGGCAAGGCCGGATGTCATAGAAGTCCGCTTGCTTTGCGGAACATGATGATAGTAGGGAGCGCGTTCCAAGCGCCTAGAACTCGGCTCGGCCCAGCCTTCTCCCCTCTCCACTGAGAAGGACTCCCTTACCGTGCTTATCTTTGCTCTGGCCTCCTCTGAAGTAATGGAGGCATTTTCAGAGGATGATGAGGCCGTATCGTCATCAGAGCTCTCCCCAGAGCTGGGGGACTGCTGATTGGGGCTAGCAGGGTCCTCCCCTAGACTCTCTTCCGACGCCTGTTCTGAAGGCTCGGGCTTGTATTGACTGTCGGCTTCCCGCAGTATGGTATCGCTGGGGGTGCCGCTCGAAGAAGGGGAAGAATAACAAGTTGGAGTTTGGGGAAGGTTAGATGAATGGTTTGGGGGGTTTTCAGAGATTTCACTGGCAGGCACCCTAATGGAGCCATCAGAATTGACAGTCTCACTGTCCGAATGGTAAAAGGAACCATCCGCCTTATATCTCCTTGTTGTTTGCTTTGTTCTGGCCATCGTGTCCTGCAGATGCACAGACACTGTCGGATTGGAGATGTACTTAAAGCAAAGTTCTCAAACGAGCATTCGACACTCCTAGTTCTAGATTCAGCCGTCCCGGTGACCGGCTGATCGCTAATCTAGCCGTGCCGGGTGCGTTTGGGAAACCATTTTGATAAAGAAAAATGCAAAAAAAAATAAGTAAAAGAAGAGAACAGGCGGTTACCTTAGAAGAAGGTACTAGGAGACGCTTGGTTTGCAGGAACAGACGGACAGAAAGCCGAGCGTCGGATGCTTGATAAGTTTAAGTCTTTGAGAGTCTTTGAAATTCAGAAGTCCAGAGATTCTCCAAGATTCGCAAAGGTGTGAATCCAAGGGGGGGTGTCAAACCTTTTTATTTATAGAGGGGGTAAAACCTTAATTTTTCCCTCCAATAGTAAATTTGAAATTCGGCAAGCCAGATCCTGACACCTGTCACAGGCGATACGTGGCAAGCGCGTGTTCCCTGTGAGGGGCAAATGATTTGGGTATTTTTACCCAACCAGCTGGCCCAATCCGAGCCTGCCACGTGTCATTGGAAGAGGCGCCACCCTGGCCCTTCAAGATGGTGACACGTGGTAGGCAGATTTGGCCCCCTGGGAATGGCGGCTTTCAAGGCCCAAATCCCAAGGGCCCCCTGCAAAAACGGCGTGCCCTTTCTTAGGGCACGAAACCCTATAAAGGGCACACATTCCTAGAGCCCTATAAATAGGGAACATTCCCCTCATTTTATGGGGATCA